AAATTATATATTTACTGTATTTAAAATTTAAAAAGATAAGAATGAAGAGAAGCAAACAATAGAAAAATGTAGTTGAATTTTTATTTTTGCAATATTTTGCTTGAATTTAATTGTATTCTCTTTACATTTCTAAAGATGTTTTGTGATTAAAATATTATTTTAATAAATATATCGGTTTAATAAATCCGTTTTGTTCAAATGCACCAAAATGCATTGCCTATATTCATTGATAAATATTAATTTTCAAAATGGTGACTACTTATTTATGCTTAGCACTGTATATACACATACAGTGTTCAGCATAAATATGAGTATACCCCTTACAAATCTCTCTTTTAATTCATTCTGACTTCAACTGTATATATATATATATAAATATATATATATATATATATATATATATATATATATATATATATATATATATATATATATATATATATATATATATATGTATATATATGTATATATATATATATATATATATATATATACAGTTGAAGTCAGAATTATTAGCCCCCTTTTGAACTTTGACTGTATTTGCTTTACAATTATTTTTGTGCGTATACATATATCATTCATTTTCTTTTCGGCTTAGTCCCTTTATTAATCTGGGGTCGCAATTAATTTAATTAAATTAATTAATCTGGTTTTACACAGCGGATACCCTTCCAGCTGCAACCCATCTTTGGGAAATATCCATACACACTCATTCAAACACACACACTGCAGACAATTTAGCCTACCCAATTCACCTGTACCGCATGTCTTTGGATTGTGGGGTAAACTGGAGCACCCGGAGGAAACACACACGAACGCTGGAAGAACATCCAGACTCCACACAGAACGCCAACTGACCCAGACGAGGTTCGAACCAGCGACCTTCTTGTTGTGAGGCGACAGCACTACCTACTGCGTCACTGCGTCACTGTTAAAAGAAAAATAAAATAAAAATAAAATCAAAGTATTGTTGAAAAATGTTTGTGCAATATTTCACATGAAGTTGGATGTTTTATTTTTCTATTTGTCTATTCATATTAAAAAAATATTATTTTAATAAACATCCAGTGCTCAGCATTATTGAGTTCACCCCATTTTGAAAATGAACATTTTATCAATTTACCAATTGAATATAGGCAATGTATTTAGGTGCATTTGAACAAAGCAGATTTATTTCTAAAAAATTATATTTCAATATCTAAAATTACAACCCACAAAATTTCAACAGAATTTTTCTTTTTCTTTTTTTTATTATTATTTTTTTTTTTTGCTTCTCTTGATTTTTACTCTTTTTTTCTATAACATATAAATTTGGCTGTACTAGTTTTTGACTGCTCCAGATTTGGCTTCAGTACTGACTAATGTATATGCACAATTATAATATTGTAAAGCAGGGGTCACCAATCTCTGTCCTGGAGGGCCGGTGTCCCTGCAGGATTTAGCTCCAACTTGCCTCAACACACCTGCCTGGGTGTTTAAAGTATACCTTGTAAGACCTTGATTAGCTTGTTCAGGTGTGTTTGATTAGGGTTGGAGCTAAAATCTGCACAGCACCGGCCCTCCAAGAACAAGTTTGTTGACCCCTGTTGTAAAAGCTTCCTATTAAAAACATAAATATAAAAGATAGATTTGTGAGTGGTGTACTTATATATGCTGCGTACTGTATCTGTTTAATAAATCCAAGTTTTGTATATGTAACTTTATAATAAAAAAATCTAATAGTTATCTAGTATCAAAACATGACAATAAAACCTGATGATGTTACACAATGAAGCCAGACTGTATTATGTTACATAATTTTAAGAAGATAGGTAGGTAACTTTTGTGTGTTTTAGGCATGCAGGGGGGAATTCTTCGAACATCAGATACAGGATGCAAGCATTTTCTGGTTTAAATGAGCACCAGATGCATGTCCAGAAGATGTTAAAAATGTTCATAGTGTGTGAAGTTTCCAGCAGTAGCAGCTGTGTTTTCTGGAACAGCTAAAGTGTGTGCATGAGACAAGAAAAGGGAAAGACGTTTCCAGATGTTGGTTCTGGATCAGTGAGCGTACAGCACCCTGCCTTGATAAACACATGCTGCGCTGGGAGAATCCTTGAACATCCACAACTGCAGTACTTCAGCATGAGAAGGCCTATTTGCTGTTCGTTTGCCATCTAAAATAGCTGCTTTTTTCTTTTGTAGAAATGTAAAGATTTTTAGATGAAACTAAGGACCTTTGTGATTGATAAAGTGCAAGTCTGTCAAAAAACATATGCAGGCAAAACTAAAGAAATAATTCACTGATTCTATCATCATCTGTTTGAGTTGCTTTTTCTGTTGAACACAAAAAAATATATATTTCAAAGAATGTTGAAAACCTGTAACTATTGTCCTCCATATTATTTGTTTTTCCTACTATGGAAAAAGTCATCTACATTTTGACCAGAGGGTAAATAAATACACAGCATGTTTTTATTTCTTAACTATCTAAGTGTCCACAATCAAGTCAATCGTAGGATAAATGAAAAAGACAGTTGATGAAAAGCTGAGGGTGTAGTTTCCCCCATTTTCCCTCATGTCTTCAGAGAAATTAAACAGAAGGATTTGAATCCATCTGTGTGGTTTCCAGGCTGAACAACAAACAAACTGCAGGGAGTCCATGTGAAAACTTAAAAGAATACTGCCCTCTATCGATCCAAATATATTTTACACGTGAACTCGAAGTGATGGATGGTCTATTTCAGGGGTGTCAAACTCAATTGCTGGAGGGCCGAAGCCCTGCACAGTTTAGTTCCAACCCTGCTCCAACACACTTACTTGTAGGTTTTGAAACAAGCCTGAAGGACTCAATTAGTTTGATCAGGTGTGTTTAATTAGGGTTGGAACTAAACTGTGCAGAGCTGCGGCCCTTTTGGAACTGAGTTTGACACCTGTGGTCTATTTGGTCTAGTTCTGTCCACAGAGGTTTGAGGAAAACTTCACAGCGTTGTTCTCCATTTCTCACATCTTTGACCACTACTTCACATAGAACTATAATCCTATTAGATTACTGTAGCTAGTTACAGTCCGTAAATGTTGCTCTTTGTCTTAATCTAATTTGTATATATCCTTACTTGCCATACATGTAGCTATTTGGAGGAAACAGGAGCACCTGTAAGTGAACACGAGGGGACATGATGCAAAACTCCACACAGAAACGCCTCTTGGTCCAACCAGGATTCAAAACAGCAACCTTCTTGATAAGAGGTGACAGTGCTAACCACTGAGCCGTCGTACCATTTGTATTTGCATATATAGCTACTAATTAACCAGTACTTTTGTATATGTTTGTTCATTGGCGCTCAAACTGAAAACATAATTTACAAGCTAAGCTTACTGTTGAGAACTGATCTAAGATAAGGAGATAGTTCTGAATACTGTACTTGCTCAAATTTTATTTTATTTTTTTCTTTTGATCAGACAGCAGAAGAATGTGCTTGAATACTTGATTCTGGGTGATAAAAGCACAGCTTAGGGATAATTCACACAAAAAAATTAACTCAATAAACAAAAGAAGATATTTTGGAAAATGTTGGAAACCAGTTACCACTGACTTTAAAGCATGATTTCCCTACTATGGATGTCAATGGGTAATGGTTCTCCACAATGGACGTCCAGCATTCTCCAGCCTCCAGTGCCTAGACTACAGCTGTGCACAAGAAGTTTGGCCAAAGGAGAAATGGTCATGCACAACTGAGCCTGGTTTCTCTCAGGTTTTTTTTTTTTTACTTCACTTTTGTCAGTTGGTTTTCAGATTTGCTATTCAGTGTTTGGACTTTTTAGCAGTAAAAATTAAACTACACTGAACTGAATTTCAACTCTGAAATCAAGACTGACGCAGTTTCAATTTACAAGAAGGTCTATAGCTGCATTGACACAATCTACATTGTAAATGCGCTATAGAAATAAAGATGAATTGATCTGAACTGTGTCCAACATTCCTCGAAGTATCTTCTTTTCCGTTAAAAATGTAGTCTTTATTACACAAGATGCAAAAGATTTTAATAAAACTATGAACAATGCTTAAAAACTGCCTTTATACTGTAAAACTTCAAGGTGCAGTAAGTTTGACACCCAGTGGTTGAACTAGGTATTGCATTCCTGGAAACTCAGACAATGATCACCCCATGTGCTTTTTTCAGTGTTATATGCTAACATGTTATATGTGTGTTTGAATGTCCTTTAACAAGACATTTACTGTATTGTCATACAACTGAAAGCAGCAGCAGATGGTTCACCTCAGATCCTGAAAATAAAATAAACATTTTGAAACTGAACTTTAGAACTGTGACTCAACACTAAAGTACAGTGATTCCGCATCTACATTTAATAATGTTAGAGGTTTAATATGTATTAACTAAATTATAAACCTACAATTTCATGAGTGAGTGCATATTCCGTGCTTCTGAATGACTGCATTTAAATTTTTGTAGTGTTTCATCTCGTGCAAACTGCCAAATTGCTTATCACTTCAAATCTTGTCACAAAGCGTGTTGTTAGGACAAAGGGTTGCAATGTAACCTGCTCATCTAATGTTTGCGATCGAAATATTTATATTATTTGCTTATTAATAACCTCATGTGGAACTCAGAATCTGCGTCTAATTGCAGAGTCTGCTACTGTCCACCAGAAGTCGCATTTTGGTCACGGACGCATGCTTTGAGCGCCTCTCTAAATGAACGACTGAATGAATGAATAAATAAAATATGCTGTTTTCCATCAAGGCAATCCATGGTGCTAAGATATAATTGGGGAAATTGGCATTAGGCGGTTAAAAGAACCAAAACAAAGACACATTCTGGCCCATTTTCAAAGCAGAATATCTGACTTCAGCATTGTTTTTCAGATAAACACGAATGTCCCACTTTGCATGTTTTTTACATTTTTAAGATAGCATATTATGGTAATTTGTTGCTTTAGTACAGTCAAAAACTTACATAGAGCACCTTTAAAATGAATCTAAATACAATCAAACAATATGGCAGCTTAAAACTGTTTATTAACAGTCCTGCTTCACTCACTCAAAAAACAGAAACTTCTTCGAAAACTTAATTCTCTCACTCACACACAAACACACACACACTCTTTGAGTAACAGAATTTTAAATGCAGACATTCATTCAAACTGTGGACAACTGAACAGAACATACTGAGAAGCATTTTAATTCTAATAGGGTTAATTCAGTCAGGGGTCAAACAGTAACATATAGCAATGATAACCGCTGGAAGTAAAAGAGGGAACAAATAAACTGCATCCCAAAAGTTGGAAGACCAAAACTTAACACTAAAATCCACTCTAGAGACAGCTGAAACAAATAACAAAAAAAACCCAATGACATTTAAATTATCTTCTATGTGACAACAGGTCTTCTAAGTTCAAATAGTTATCACACACACGTTAATATACATACATTAATTTAGGCATTTTATTTGTTTTCCAAAACTTCAATAACACAAAACCCAAATGCCAAAATCATTCATTTAAACTCTTTATGTAAGGGAAAAAAAACTTAAAACAGCAAACTGAACATTCTGATGTTATTTAACAGACATTCAAAAGCTCAAATACCAAAATATTTACAAAGTAAAGCACAAACTCTTTCATATTCCCAAAAACCTCAATTAAAACTTTAGGTTCACAGTGAGTTTTTTGCGTTTGTTTTTTATTTATTTATTTATTTATTCAGATTTTGAAGATTTGTTCAGTATTTGTATGTGAAATATTGCACCTGTCAGTCATGAAATTCCTTGAATTAGGTCCTAATATTCCTCACACACACTCACACAAATCCGCAATACTGCATAGCAAAGGAGTGTAATATTTAAAAGTGGAAAAAGAAAACGCACAATCCGGCAGCAAGATGGAGAGTAAAGCACAACCACATCAATCTTTCAGAGGGAGCTATAACATCATGTGTGACGTCCTCGAGCTCAATGAGCGTTGCCGCAGTGATCTGGTTTTTGTGGTGGTTTTGTGCACAGTGAGCGAGATGCAGATCCTCTCCAATCCTCTAGGTGTCCTCCTCCCGCAAATGCACAGGTCTTCTCCTGTGGGCATCAGTGGCATCCATCCGTGGAAGCGTATCAAGTGCTCCTCCATACTCGTATTCATCATCCTCTTCCTCTCCGTCTGCTTCCTGCTCATATTCAAACTGATGCTGACAACACACCTGCCGCGCAGGCAGCTTCCCTACAGAAACATTCGTGCCTCGTTTTATCATGGTTGAATATTTAATTGAATTTCTCTTTTATTTTTATTAAATGACTTACTGTGGTGATAATCTGGTGAAAACCGTCTCGATGGGAACACAAAATCTGCAACAAAAACCATCACCTGAGGAAGAAAACATAGTAGTGGATTTGTTTATGAATGAATCAGCCTTTTTATTCAAATCAAATGAGTCAATCTAATGAGCTGTTCATAAAGAGTCACTACACTTACGTTTTGGATTAATAAATGGGAAATATTATATTCAATATCATTTGTCTCATTAAAACTTGATGCAATCCGTTAAATATTTAAAAATTAAACTGACTTAATGCATAGCCACCATTCAAATGTTGTAGTTGTAATCGGGTATATGCGGAAGTATGCGGAATTACTTAAATTATCAGTAACCTGGGTCAAGCACTTACGGTAAATTCTATGGCATTACAAAATTGTCTAGTTTGAGGTCTGTTTTCTTTAAAAATCAGCGCTCTTCACTGGCTGAGTGATATCTGATATAAAGTGGGTCTCATATTGTACAAGAAGCACTGCGTTAAATTACATTTTCCCCGCCATGTCTTTAAAATATGAAAAAAAAAAAATTTCAACAGTTTATTTAATGGAGTTTCTATGCTAGCCTGCTAATCCTGACTCACGTGTGCCTGTAAATGGCTTGTCATCTCATTTTAGGGCCTACTCACACTATGCTATCTAAACCGTGCCCAAGCCCGTTTCCCAGATCGTTTGAGAAGTGTGAGTGCGCTGAATCGGGCTTAAGGCTGATTTATACTTCTGCGTCAAACGCCGGCGTATGCTACGGTGCTGACGCATAGCCCTTCGCCGTGGCCATCGCCGTCACTGACGTGCACCTCTCAAAAAATGTAACTACACGTCGCAACGACGCGTAGCGTAAGCTCTGTGATTGGTCGGCTCGTTAGCGCTGACGAGTTTCGGCGGGACCGAGAGCCGCGCAAATGGCGCGAGCGATTGTTTACAAGTGTGGAGTCCCGTGAAGGAGCTCCGAATGGAAAGTTTTGTTTTGTGTTTACCTCATAGTTAAAGTTGCTGCACGTCGGCCGGTTGCTGCCTCAAAATGAGCGAGTTTGAGCCACTTGTACATCCTGGAAGTGTTCAGGAAAAGCAAAAAAGCAGAGAAGAAACTCGACACAGAGGAACATTAACACCTCACTGTCCACTAGCGTTTCAGAAGTGTTAATGCAGACCGACAGAGACAGCGCGCAGAAGTATAAATGCACAGCCACGCGCGTTGCCTGCGCCGTGGGTTACGCCGGTCACTTGACGCAGAAGTATAAATCAGGCTTTAGGCATGGTTCACTTTGCCGGCCCTGGCCCGGTTGGAAGAGGTGTGCCTGGGCGCGGTACGCTTGTGTGTGAGTGCAAAACGCACCTAAGCCCGAAACTTAAAGCGTGACGTGCCTTTTAAGGAACTGTTTAAAGTACGTTTATTAATCATTCTCACTGTTTAATGAACACAAACTGTCATAGTTTATTAAAGACGCAAACCCCTCACTGCACGACAGCTGCACACCTTCATCAAACCTCCTAATTCCTGCAGCACCAGGACTCTATGGTTGTTTATGAGTGTCCAAAGTGGCTGATCTGTTGGGCGAAATATTTGGCTGCGTGTCACCACATCCCAAACGACTAAACGATATAACTGAAGCAAACTCCACTGTGCTAAACAAGACTGAACAGCGCAGCATAGATGATGTAAGCGTGCCCAGGCCCAAATGTGATGCGAGTGCGGGCCGTCAGGGAAGGGGGACAAGCGTGCTTTGGCCCAGTTCAAGGCAACTGTACAGTGTGAGTACGCCCTTAAGCTTGAGCAACTAAATGAACCCTGAAGTCTATTTAAAGGATTGTATTTTATTTACAATACAACAACAATGCTGTAAAAGAAACCGTATAAAATGGAAAAAAAGTCACATTAACCGTTCACCGAAAGTATATCAGTATGGAAAGAAACATTAGCTTTTTCCACATGCCAGTCAGAGTGTGCCTTAATCTCCGCCTCAGCTGCATCCGATAAACAGCACTGTGACAGACATGAAGGAAACAGATCTCACGTAATGTTATACTACAGTAAGAACTTTCCCAATGATTATTTGATGTATTTGCTGTGGAGTTATTTCAAGTCTTTTAATTAGTCACACAATGTCATTACAAAGTTCTAGTTTTTTTGGTTATCGCGCGCACACACAGACACACACACACACAGTGCGTGTTTAACTTTGCACTGTTTTGGCACCCCAAATGTGACAGGATATCCATTAATATCCACTGCTGTATGGATATCTGTTATGTTCTTGTACAAAATTAATCTGATTAAACGTTCACAAATAAGGATTGAAGCATCTTCTTTTATAATTGTACTGACATGCGGCTGTAGTGATAAAGATGGTAAAATCGCTGTAATTCATTACAAACAAGCACAAACATTTTTAAAAAAGTTTTAAACTTGTAAATCTCATTCTTGATCACATTTGATTATTATTGATAATCACAGAGAGCCGAACAGATCTTTTAATCCCGGTTGCTTTGCGCATGTCCTGCCTTGTTGATATGATTATACACATTACTATGCACACATGTCGCAGCTGTCAATCAATTCGTGGGCGGGGAACCCATAGACCGGAGAACTCATAGACCGCTAAAATATTGGAGGGAATGTGGAGACAACATTAAAAATATATTTTTTTTTATTACTTAATTACTTACATTTATGAACAGAAATGTTTCTTGCTAAAATAGACTTTCTCTAATTCAAAATATAACCAAAAAAACTCCCATTTCTCATCTTGTGTGCACGGACACGGTCGGCCAGACGCATACGGTCTAGTTGCAGAAGTTCAAATATTTCAACGGATCCACAGCTCAATTCAGATATGAATTTTCAGCATACAGAGATAATCGGAACTCCACGCAGCTCCCAGACTACTCTCCATTGGAAACGAAAGACTTCCGGTCTGTCGCTTGGCGTTTGTCATGTGCAGCGGAAAGCAGGCTTTAGGAGGAAATTAAATATATTTATGCTTTTTTAGAGTCGAACACTTTGGAGAACGCTTGAACAAAATCTAATGTGATTAAGACTTTAATACCTTTAAAGGGCCTTCATTTTCTGATAATTGACTTATCATCTTTTAATACTTTTTAAGACCCCGCGGACACCCTGTAAATATACAAGTTGTTGTATAAAAATGTATTATATTAAGAAATGAAGTGGAAGGTTATTTGAAAATTTAATTATTTCACCAAATAGTCTAGATAAACTTGGGAGACTTCTTTCAAAAGCATTCAATAAATCATACAACCTCAAACTTTTAAACAACAATGCAATTTCATTTGTGTTCTCACCAAACCAAGAAACAGTCCTGCGACGATAGTTGCACAAGCAAAGATCCCATATGATTCCCAAACCGAAAATCCCATCTGCTCCGTCAGGTAATTATGACAATGCTGAAATGCAATGATAAAAGAAGTGAGTCATAAAAAAACATTTATCTTTCACTGCCTTCAAATTAAGCTTTCAAAACATGAAAAAAATAGTTCAAACCAAATCGCCTATTTTTAATTATCCACGTCATAAGCAGGATGACCAATATACAGTCAGGCAATCTTTATTACAAAAGGCCTTATGGTAATGTTAAAGATGTAACAGGAGTGAAAAAATTGTTCTGCTGAATTTTGTTTTTTCATATCCTGATAGCAATCATTAAATGAAGCAGTCCAAATGCATTTAGGTCTATTTTAATATTGTGTGGAAGGTGTAGGACAAGCCTAGAAAAGTTTGACCAATTAAAAAATTCGCTCTGAACAATTTGATAAGCTGTCCTGTCAAAATATGTAATTGCATACCACTGTGCACCCTGTTAGTGCAGAAATCATTATATGATTGGCGCCTTCACTTGCATGGTTCAGGCAGAAAATGGCAGGCAAACATCAACAGCCTACTTTCAAAGTTTGGTGAATGTTATGTGATTTACTGTAGTGATGTTGTCTAGTGCAGTGTTTCTTAACCACATTACCGGAGGACCACCAATCCTGAATGTCTTGGATGTCTCCTTTGTCTGTCACACCCATTACATGTCTTTCAGTCTCTGCTAACGAGCTGATGATCAGAATCAGGTGTGCTTGGTTAAGGAGACATGGACAAAGTGTAGAGCTGGTGGTCCACCAGAAACGTGGTTGAGAAACACTGGTCTAGTGCACATTCATGCGTTTAAATAGTAATTTACAGGGTAAGATGTAGGCTTTCAGTGCTGTCAGGCCAATGTTATTTTAGCTCAAGATTATACAAATTTTGTCTGTTTAGAAAAATCGTGAGCAAGATTAGCCAGTGTGAGCCTAGCTTAAGTTGTAACTACATTTGCTAAGAGAAAAAGTCTATAAGCTTAAAAAAAAAAGAAAGAAAAGAAAACACTCACCCTGATAAACACGGATAACTTGAAAAGGGCTGACATTATGTTCATCCTAAAAATGTATAAATGAATAAAAATTAAACAGGCACAGATGATGAATCATGTTAAATGCAACAGTAAATCAAAAAGTTCTTCCTTTTACTGGAGATTTTGACCCAGAGTCACTGCATTATCATAGAATCTTAAGCTCCTTCATTATGCGCACATACACACAATTATTGGTGGATTATGAGGACTTTTCATAGGCGAAATGTATTTTATACAGTTTAAATTGCTTAATATATGGTCCTACCTCACCTGTACACCCTAAACCTAAGACTTATAGAAAACCTATGGCAAAACCTGAAGGTAAAAAGACACCGTTAATTATGATTTTTAAGCATTTTGAATTACAATGACACAAGACATGTCCTCATAAACCACCATTATACACATTTCTGTACTTGTAAACCACACAAAATAGTACACAGGAACACACACACACACACACACGCACGCGCACACACGCGCACACACGCGCACACACGCGCACACACGCGCACACACGCGCACGCACGCGCACGCACGCACATGCACGCACACGCACGCACACTCAGTACTCACAGGAAAGAGGAGGGCCCGAACCAGGAAGAGACCGGCTCTATGCTCTGCCATTTCTTCTCTTCAATGAAGCTCAGGAAGTCCTCTTTAGATCGGTCTCCTTGATACCTCCGAAACACACCATCTTTACAGCTGCAAAAAAAACACATCTAACTATTTGGAACTACATAACCGCAATGACACATGCATATGTGGCTTTATTTTTATGTACATGTATGCTCACACACTGCCTTATGTCTAACTATTCAAAAATTTGAGATCAGAATAATTTGATAAAAGGAACTGATGATATATTTTACAAGTACACATTAAATGAGCATAAAATCAGAGAAATTTGTTGACTGTTTTCAAAATCAATAAGAAATGTTTTTTGTTGAGGAAAATGATATATATATAACTATTAATTAATATTATTCTTATTAATATATTATAAAGCTTTTTAAATATGAAGTGACACTGAAATCTTATTTTTCAATTGTTTTCAATGAAAGCACAATTGTAAAATGGCATCAGTGCACATATCGGCCACTTTATTAGGTACACCTTACTAGTATCGGGTTAGACCTCCTTTTGCCTTCAGACCTGTCTTAACCCTTCGTAGATTCAACAAGAGACTGGAAATATTCCTTAGAGATTTTGGTCCATATTGACATGATAGCATCACGCAGTTGCTGCAGATTTGTCGGCTGCACATCCATAATGCGAATTTCCTGTTCCACCACATCTTAAAGGTGCTTTAATATACTCAAAGTCTGGCAACAACTATCCCAAATTCAAAGTCACTTAAATCACTTTTCTTGCCCATTCTGATGCCTAAATCCATTGAGTTGCTGCCATGTGATTGGCTGATTAGAAATTTGTATTAACAAGCAGTTGGAAAGGTGTACCTAATAAAGTGGCCAGTAAGTGAGTGTGAATGTGTGTGGTGTTTGTGCATATATATATATATATATATATAAATAAACTTTTCATGATTTCTGTTTATGGAGAGAGAAAACAGATGTGAAGTGAAAAGTGAAGCCCTGAATAAAAGACAGTGATCACTACCGTTACTTTTCAGTCAGCTATTCAATCAAAGCAAATACCAACATTGACCAAACATCAACATTTTTTGTTAAAACATAAAAAATAAAGTAGAAATAATTATTGCTCAATACTGTGTTAGTAATCTGCTTGGCCTTAAAGAGACAGTTAAAAACATGTAAATGTATTAAAACTCACTGGTAGATAGTCGGCAGAGCCATGATGATAAACCTCCCACTTAAACCTGCAGCACAGAAAAAGAAACACATGAGTGAGAATGAGGAGTGTAAGGCTATAATTGAGCTGATGTGTTGATAAAGCCTCATGTAATAGTCATATCATACCCGGGTGCTCGGTGACGTCCACTTTGGCGATGTTCACTCCCAAATCGTCTCCCCATCCTGCAAACTCAGTCCACACGGGCTCCAGCTGCTGGCAGGCCGGACACCACGGAGCAAAGCTGCAGCAGACAGGCAAACATTTTAATCCAATAACACAATCCCATTCAGAGGAGACACAAAGACACTGAGGCTCATTTGTTTCCCATCGGATCTGTTTAACTTCAATCCTCCCATTCAGCGGCTCAGAGGGAACACAAAGGGAGGAGAGCGTAATGCATTATAAGTAATAATGATAATCGTAATATTGTTTACTCATCATTATGTAGAGCCAAACGTGAATTTTCATCCTCTTAACAAAAATACAAATAGAAATGTTATAAATATAAAATGAAAGCTTCTAGGGATGAAGCGATAACAACTTTTTTTACAAACTGATACGAGTACTTTCCTTTGTGTACTTGCCAATACCAAGTACCGATTCCGATACTTTTTAGATTTGGTTTCAATGAAAGTGCAATTAATTTTAAAGGAGTTTTATTTTCTGTCGGTAGCTAGGATGAAGACAAAATTCTTTAACAGAGGGCTATTCCAAGCTAAAAATATACACACATTGTTGATAACCCTTTAAATCAACAGACCTTATTGATTACCAATTAAGCATGGACATTTAAAGAATAATCCTTGCGCTCACACTAATCAAGTATGTGCAGTTTACGTTACCTTATGGTGACACTCTCTGGACTAAGCTATTAATATATAATACATTATTACATCAAGGTATTGAAGTCAGGTAGGACAACAAATCACATCCACCTAGTGAAATACTGTTGAGTGGTATTGGTGTGTGTGGTATCGGCATGTCATGTACGATACAAGTATTTTTACCAAGTATCAATCTGATACACCATACTGGTATTGGTGCATCCCTAAAAGCTTCAGTCAACTATCTAAAAATGAAAATGAATTTTCATTTAAAGATATTCAATAAAACAAATGGATTTTTTCACTTTCATACATTTAGGACATTATAAGTTATGAAATTTAATCGTGGCTTTAATATAAATAAAACCAAAAAACATGGATATTGTAGTTTAAATAACTGACCAACCACTTGACAAATTAACCACTCAGGTAAAGCTGGTTTTATATTCATACATTAGGACTTTCTCATTAACAATATAATATATATTAAAAGTATTATTTGCAAATTCTAAATGAAGAGGTCATATAAGCAGCAGCAGAAGACTATCAAAGTACAACATCGTTCACAGCCAAATAAAGTGCTAATGTTGTTTTGAAGTCATGTTTATATGTGATTTCAGAGCTAGAATTCAAAGTAACATGGTAAACAATGTAGGGAGTGTGTCACAAGATGTCACTGAAAGAATGTGCGAATATAAAACCAACTTTACCTCATTACGAGTACGGGTATTTTAAGTAACGACCCGATACCCGATACTGGTGCATCCCAAAAAGCTTCGGCCAACTGTCATTTTCATTTAAAGAAATTCAATAAGAGTAAAGGGCTTTTTTCAGTTTCATACGTTTAGGACATGGTAAGTTCTGAAATTTAATTATGGCTTTATTAGAAATAAAACCAAATAACATTATTATTATACTTTAAATAACTGACCAACCACTGACAAGTCATGTTTATATGTGATTTCAGAGCTAGAATTCAAAGTACCATGGTAAATAGAGGTAAAATTGGCTTTATATTTGGATATTCAGACATTTTCCCTAATAATATAATTTAATTAAAGTATACTTTGCAAATTCTAAATAGGTAAATCATATTAGCAGCCAATGTCTATCAAAGTACAACACTGTTAACAGTGAATTAGATAGTTTTAATGTTGTTTAGGAGTCATACTTGCATGCTAATTCCGATCGAATATTCAAAGTAACATGGTAAACAATATAGGGACTTCTAAATAAACGAATTTGTGAATATAAAACCAACTTTACCTCTATCCATGGTAAACAATGTAGGGAGCGTGAACTGAACGAATGTGCAAACATAAACCAACTTTACCTCTATAATGAACCATGATTTCGCTACACTTACGTCATTTGTAGTTAAACGACAGCTACACAAATGTCAAACACACCTTAATCCAGGGTTACTTTAATGTTACTGTTATTAAAATAAAAGCATGATGAAGGTTTGTCACTTTTCATTTTCGCAAGGGTCACTTCAAAACCACAGAACTTCCTCTAACATGACTTCACTACAAGATCACTGCACTGACAGAATCATGTAATAGTCTGAAGCTAAACATTGATATAGATCAATGCATCACAGACCGTAAACAGATTAATCACCCTAAACAGATCAACAAACCGAACACACACAGACTTTATGCAGAAGTAAGTCTAATAACTCACAACTCGATCATCCATTCCCCCGTGAGGACTTCCTGCCAGTCTCCATCTGTGAGGACTCTTAACTGTCCGGCTTTGGGCGCTTCGGGCTGCGCGACCACACAGGCTGCCAGAATAGACAACACACACGCGCCGGCTGTCATTCCCCTGACTCTGCGTGGATCTCCGCACGCCATGTTTCAGCACCCGCCGATTCTCTTCCGCTTCCGCCTCCACCTTCACTGTGACGTATAATCGATGGGCGGAGCCGCGTAATTGACGTCAAGACGCATAAGCTTTAGAAAGCTGTTTTGAAACACACGTTTAATCCAATAAAACAAATAAACACACATTTCGTTCATTACAGACACTTCTTTTTGATTATTGTCTGGGGTTTTATGTGTAGCATTTTGTATTTATATTATGTTACATCAAAAAATGTTACAGCATATGCGCTCTCTCTCTCTCTCTCTCTCTCTCTCTCTCTCTCTCTCTCTCAATTCAATAATTGCTTTATTGGCATGACAAATGTTACACATGTATTGTCAAAGCAGTTCTAAATTTTACATAAAAATAAGAGAACATATATAATACAAAACACAGTTAACAGTAGCCTACAGTAGTAGTAGTAAAAATAAATAAAAAGATATATATATATATATATATATATATATATATATATATCATATCATATTATTGTTATTCAATATATCAGATTATTATTCAAATTTTCACTTTATAATTAAATATATCACATTGTTATTCAATATATCATATCATTATTTATTTATAACAATAAAAATAATTTTAAAAAATCTGAATAAACTGTACATTTAACTTAACAATCAACATTTTGGGATAAAACAGTAATAAAAAACAATAATAAAGAGTATATTTCTTTGCAGAATACAAAAACAATAAATAAAATCGTTAAGTGATTATACAGTACATATAAACATATGAAAAAAACAAAACACACAATTAGAATTTTGATACGTACGCAAATAAGAAAGAGGGGAAGACTAACATGAGGATTAAACAGATAATAAAAAGGAAAATATAAGTCATTCATTCATTTTCTTTTCAGATTAGGCCCTTTATTAATCTGGGGATGCCACAGCGAAATGAACCGCCAACTCATCCAGCACATGTTTTACGCAGCGGATGCCCTTCCAGCAGCACACTCCACACAGAACTTTACACAGAAACACCAACTGACCCAGCCGAGGCTAGAACCAATGATCTTGCTGTGAGGTGACAGCACTACCTACTGCGCCACCATGTTGCCTATTATTAAAATATAACAAAATAAAATACAATGTGCAACTGTTTGCAATAATTTTTCTGACTAGATAATGTTCTCTCTCTACTGTTATTAGAAATAGTTTATTTATACACCATTTTAAATTGCATACACAAATTTAATTGCATACATTTTATTTCAGCTTAGTCCCTTTATTCATCAGAGGTCGCCACAGCGAGATGAACCACCTAATATAACAAAAGTATAAACAAATAAGTTGTAAAAATGTAAATGTATCAATTTAAACATTCATTCGTTTTCTTTTCGGCTTAGTCCCTTTATTGATCTGGGGCCGCCCCAGTGAAATTAACTGCCAACTTATCCAGCATATGTTTTACGCAGCGGATGCCCCTCCAGCTATCCATCACTGGGAAACACCCATATACACTCATTCACACTCATACACTGCGGACAATTTAACTTACCCATTTCACCTATACTGCATGTTTTTGGACTTGTAGGGGAAACCATATCAATTGGAGGAAAGCCACGCCAACATGGGAAGAACATGCAAACTCCACACAGAAACACCAACTGAGCCAACCAGGGCTCGAACTAGCAAAATTCTTGCTGTGAGGTGATTGTACTACCCACTGTGCCACTGTGCTGCCTAATTTAAACATTACTACCTCACATTAATAAAGGGACTAAGCCGAAAAGAAAATGAATGAATGAAATATTATCATAAGTATTATTATGTCTAAAATTATTATTATTATTATTATTATTATTATTATTATTATTATTATTATTATTATTATTTTTATTATTATTATTATTATTGGCAACATAGTGGTGCAGTGGTTAGCACTGTCGCCTCACAGCAAGAAGGTCGCTGATTTGAGTCCCGGCTGGGTCAGTTGGTGTTTATGTGTTTGCATGTTCTCTCCTTGTCCGCGTGGGCTTTCTCTGGGTGCTCCGGTTTCCCCGACAGTCCAAAGACATTCGGTATGAATTGAATAAACTAAATTGGTCATATGTGTGTGTATGGATGTTTCCCAGTACTGGGTTGCAGCTGGAAGGTCATCTGCTGTGTTAACACATATCCTGGATATGTTGGCAGTTCATTCCACTATGGCGACCCCTGATAAATAAAGGCACTAAGGGAAGGAAAATAAATGAATTGATTATTTCTATTATTATTATTATTATTTAAAGTATAAAAGCTCATACACTGAAGAAAAAATGATTTTAGCAAAACTGTTGTAAACTATTTATGTGGGCTGAATTTAAACAAATAAATTAACTTTAGTAATGTTCAACTTAATCTGTTTGATTATATTCAACACAAATAAATTTCTTTTTAAAAACTTACCCTAAAAAATTAGTAAATCCAATGAATCTTCTTTGAGTAATATTTTCAGTGTGACTTGACTTTTTGGACCAATAAACCACATCTTTATACCACAAGGTGGCGCCATATCTTACCTGTAAAAACCTGGTAAAAACTGCACTGAAAAAAAAATGTTTGAACGCGAATTGATTTTATGCATCTATTTGGAGACTCGCTAAAATAGCTACAAAAACAAAACGGCATTGAAGAAGAGGGAATGTGCTAATAAAACAAATTTGTTAGTTAATATTTATTTTCTGATGTTTATTCGAATTACTTGCTCCTCATAAAGCTAAACAGCAGCCTGGAAGTGAAGCAGGACAACATTGATTATGAGTTATGTGAGATTTTAATATAACTTTATCTTTTAATTTATTTTTTTCATTTAAAGAATAAAAATTAGACAATGCTTTAGAAATTGCCGTTCTAAACACACGTGCACACACATCACGCGCGCGCACATACATGCACACACACGCATTCACAGCCTGAGAGGATGTTGTTATTACCCACTCTCTCTGCTGACAGTAAATGAGTGCTAATGGCAGTGATGTGATAATTGCTGTGCCACAGTGAATATGTTAACATGTAGATGAGTTTGGTGTAATTGTTTTATCGGGGTGGAATGAAACGTCTGAATTCAACAACAAAAAGGGTAAAGTAGATGGCATACAGCCGCTGATACTAACATCAATATGTTTTTTTTTGTGACACTGTACAATAATAATTAATATTTTTACATTACTGTGAAGGTTGAGTTTGGCTATATATGTGAACAAAATACTATTTATTGGGTCGTTTAATAAATAATATGAATAATGCTCTGTATAATTACTGTTTTACATTACTGTGATGGTTGGGGTAGTGGAAGATTCATTCATTCATTCATTCATTTTCTTTTCGGCTTAGTCCCTTTATTAATCTGGGGTCGCCACAGCAGAATGAACCACCAACTTATCCAGCATATGTTTTTACACAGCGGATGCCCTTCCAGTTGCAACCCATCTCTGGGAAACATCCATACACACTCATTCACACTCATTTACTACAGACAATTTAGCCTACCCAATTCACCTATACCATATGTGTTTGGACTGTGGGGGAAACCGGAGCACCCGGAGGAAACCCACGCGAATGCAAAGAGAACATGCAAACTCCACACAGAAAAGCCAATTGACCCAGCCGAGGCTCGAACCAGCGACCTTCTTGTTGTGAGGCGACAGCACAACCTACTGCGCCACTGCATCGCCGGTAGGGAAAGATGTTAACAAAATACAATTTAATGGGTCATTAAATAAATAATATGAGTGATGTTCTGTAATAACTGTTTTTACATTTTAGTGAGGGGTGGGGTAGATGTTAATAAAATACAATTTAATGGGTCATTTAATAAATAGCATAAATAATGCTTTGTATATTAACTGTTTTACATTACTGCAATGCTTGTGTTTAGGGTTGGGGTAGGGGTTGATGTAATTTTTAATGGGTCATTTAATAAATAATATGAGTAATGTTCTGTATAATTACTGTTTTTACATTACTGTGATGGTTGGGTTTAGGGTTGAGGTAGGGGTAGACGTCAATAAAATACGATTTAATGTATATTCTCATTGACTTCAGGCTAGAGCTGTATCCTTATAGCAAATATAAAGCAGGTTCTTGGACATCTGCATTTGCCATGCAATCAAGACCTACATGGTATTGTACCTTTATACTATACTATATTGGACAATATAAATAAAAAGTTTTTAATCCAGTGGATTAGCATTCACGCCTTTAGTCTTTATTGTTGTGAGTAAAGTATAATGGAAAACCAAAATCAAATCAAATAATTGTTCTTACTAGCCAAATTACTTGCTAAGCTAAAAGGAATTCAGCATAATTCAGTTAAAAAGTTATACTTTTTTTTTTTACACATGCAGTGATTTGGGCTGTATTTTATGGCATTTTCTAAGAATGTAGCATCACAACTTAATTACATGCATTAAAGAACATTTTCACACTTGCATAATTTGACAAAATTGCAACTGATTGGAAATGACTTGCAATAAGAAACCTTCCATTCACACATCATGTCAAGTGTCCTCACACATCATGGCTCATACTGCTCTTCACTTAGTTTCCTTGGCAACCAAGGACATCTACTTACATAAAACTTTAATAGTGGGAAAATGTTAATTGAGGTGAAATTAAACTGTTACAAAAGCTGATGCAAAATAAATGTCTAACTATCTGATAATGATTATGAATAGTTCACTCTTTAGACAAAAATAATAATAATAAAAAAGATCAATTGATTAGAACAGTTCAATTGAATACAAATATGTAACACAATATTAATATTTAATAGAAAATATTATTTTAATGTAAGAATTTTGTGTATAAATGAATAAATGAGTTGACAAAGACGAGAGGTCAGAAACCCCATTTTTAAGAAAAGAAATAAAATGAGTAGAAATGTCAATCAAATGCTGGAATAAACAAACAAATAAGCAAGTGAAAGTTCAGAATGGTGGCTCAGTGGTAAGCACCTCACAGCAAGAAGGTCGCTGGTTGGACTTCCAGCTGGGTCAGCATTTCTGTGTGGA